ACTTATCGCAATTCAGCACGCAACAGATTTTTATTTTCTCTTCTTCACACAAAGAGTTTTGAGCCTAAAAAAACCAAAAATCAGTCCAATTAGACCAGTTATTTTGGGGTTGGCCACGTAAAATTTGGGCCGCACCCATATCCACTCGAAGACAAATGAAATGCAGAATCAGTTTCAAGTAGAAGAACTGCAATGTTTTTCGGACATTGAAAAATGGAAGAAAAAGATATTCATATCCCTAATATCAAATTTCAATTCTTTCAGTTTTTCGAAGCAAGAAGCCCAATTCTTCCAGCATTTTTTATTGGGAAAATTGCAACAGCGGTGGGGTGGAGTGGGGGAAGAAGAAGATGAATAGTAGTTTCTTTTATTTTTATTTCGTATATTAGTTTATTTATTTTATTATAGAATTAAGTAGGAAATTCACCTTTTTACCCTTTTAAATTGGTCAAAAATTGGTCAAATTTCAAATTTATTGGTCAACTAACGGTCAAATGGACGACTTCCATAACCTCCGGTGCATATTTCTGAAAGGTCTGGAATTATGGGTGGCACAAACTAAAGGTTTGGACAAAATCTGCTAATAAACGAAATGTTTGGTATCTCAACTGCAATTTTCCCCAAAAAAAATGTTTATAAACAAAAAATACAATAATTAAAAAAGTTACTGGTAAGTTAAAAATTATTTATAAATAAAAAATTCTTATAAATAAAAAAAATACTACTAATAAGACAAACATTAACTTATAAAATATAAAAAATTACAAGTAAAAAATTCACTTGTATAAAAATTACTTATAAGTACAAAATTAACTTACAATTGTAAAATTTACTTTTGAGGGTAAAATTACTTATAAATTAAAATTTTAATTATAATTAAATATTTCACTTTTTAAGTTAAAATAAACTTATATAAAAAAAATACTAAGTAATGTTTTACTTATTAGTAAAAATAATTTCATATAGAAAATTATAAATTGAAATTTTCACTTTAGTTACTTACACATTAATTCCATATTATTTACACATACCTACCTTTTTATATACTAGTCAAAGTTGAATGCGTAATATATTGCATGTTATTTTAAAATATTTTATAAGTGATGTAAAAGTAATATTTAGTACTAATCTGTTGGAGGATTTGATGAGTTTCGGACGAATTAAAGAAAATAAAATTTAACATAGAAATTTAAAAGAAGAAAATTGTACTCAAATTATACTTTCAAAACTCAATTTCTATGATTCAAATTTTTTGTAATGATGAAATACTATAAATGAACTTTTTTTTAATATCACATTTGATACATAAAAATTAATTGTTAATACATAAATTTAAATACCCATTAAAATTCATAGATATATGAATATGAATAAATTTATTTATAATAACTATAGATTCATATAATTCAAAATTTATCAAGTGAAAAATTATCGAATATAAGTTAATGTGAATATTAATTAATTGAGAATTAATAACACAAATTTCATAAATAATTGAATGTAGGAATTAAAATTGTCCTATTTTAATATATTATATATATATATGCATATATTTAAATTTATTGTTTGAAAAAACTTTTAGAATCGTTGATAATAGATTCCCAAGCAATATTGATTGTACTGTTCTAAAAGATGCTACTAAAAACACCCAAAATGGACCCCTAAACAACGCCTAAAACATGTACGATAAAGAACTCCATAATTGGTACCCCTAAAGTGCGGAGCATGCCCTAAAAGTTGTACTTCTTGAAGCTATTTTCAAAAGTATTTAATTATTCTGGATGATGAAACATATATAGAACAATGTGCTCTTGATCCCTCCAGAAAAAGAAACTTGATTTGTGGCACTACTTATTTACACAGGTACTAGTGCTTGAAACTTTTGTATTCTTTCATTTCAAAATTGAGCCTGGCAGGAGAGCTCTTTTTTCAAGCAGATTTTCAATGATGATTGAGGTAGTTTTAGCGAGTAACTCAACTTATTCACTTGTCACGGTCTAATCTTATAAAGGGTTTTAATTAATTCGAAGTTGTTAAGTTTCTAGTGCATTGGCAATTCTTTAGACATATGGATTAATGTAAAAGAGTTGTAGAAGTCAAAAAAAAATTTGGAGTTGGTAGTATAGTTCTTGAAGGAGTACAATATGTCCAAAAAAAATCACATATGATCATTGGAGTGCAATTAGAAGTCTAAATGATATTAAGAGCCGCACAAATTATGTTCCAAATTCTCAGTCGTAATTTGAAACGTATTTTTCATATATAAAATTGGAATTTGGACAAGACTACTTCTAGAAAAATTGTAGCCCTTTGAGTTAGTTTTCCAACACACTTTAAATCACCTCAATCGAATAACTGAAGAGTAAGTTATAATAAAAATACTGACAACTACTCAGCTATCGCTCATCCATCACTAGCTACTCACTCGAGCGACAGTGATATGTGGCCAAATCCTAGGTCGCGATTTTGGAGAATTTTACACGGTCCATAACACCTATTTGCCTCCAACTATAAATACAGAAGTCATGGACGATTTTTCACAAGGTTGCTATATTGTTTTATCATTGAAAAGCACTTTCATATTGTCTTTAAGAGATCCAGAAACACAATTTAACTGGTGCAATTAATCATTCATTCTTGAGATTCGGCAACCTAGTTTTGGAAAAATATCACATCTTTGTAATCCAAAACACATGGCTTCCTTAATTCATTGAAGAATAGGCTCTCTTATTGAGGATTGAGAAAGGTGGACTTCAAGCGTAGGAAAATCACCAGAATAGGAAGTTCTCTAGAATTCCACTTGGAAGAGGCAATCAGTTTCAATCAGGAGCCTGGAAAAAGAAAGCATATTTTGTGGGTTGCAGGAGATAGATCAGTAGGTCTAGTGAAATAGCTAGACAATATTTACGATAATAGATCGTGAGACTAGAAAATTGACAGCGGGTCTTAGAGATTGTAAGAATTACTATAGCTAGAACTAGAGAGAGTTGCTAGACTGGAATCGCATTGGTAACCTTGATTGACTATAGTGGAAGTAATTGGCTTGGTCTCCGAGTTTTTCCCACGCTGGATTTCTTCATCAACAAATATTGTGTTTTTAATGCTTTCCATATTTTATTGCAGCATTCAAACTTAGGAAAATTGGATTGTATGTTTAATCATCAAGAAAACTAATTAAAGACTTGTGACTTTAATTAGTCAATTCTGCACGTAAAGTTGAACTAATCGATAATCTGGAACTTAAATTTCGTAATCTTAAAAGTTAAAATAGTGTGTAGCGTCCTAGACCCGAACTTCACATAAGTAGACTTGATCATTTTAAATTCTCTAAGCAGCTAATAGCTAAGTTTTACAACGGCAAAATAAAAAGAAAAAAAAGGGAAATTCTTACCAATGTACTAATTACTCGAGTGCAAGTTACTCTTCAACCTTTACAATCTTTAAGCCTAATATGGAGGCACAATGAGTCCTTAAGGATCCTTGATAACATAAATTATCCAAATTTAATCACTTCTCCACACATTTAACGCAGATTTGAACAACTTAATGTGAATTACAGTGGTTTTTGCTGCAAATACGTTAAGAACCAAAATTACAAATACTAGTACCAAGTACCCTTATTGCACTAAGTACATCGGGCTAGTACTGTGGATGCAAGGAAGAGCACCACAGTGCCACTTAGAATACATAACCGGGAGTCAATGACTCCCCACATGAGGACTGACAAATAAGAACTTCGACTACATCTAAACAATCTTGCTTCACAGGCCTCCTCAAAAAAGTATTAAAATTTTGAGGTTTCATCTCAAAAGGTGAACCTTATTAAGAGAAGTAACTCAATATCTTATACATTTGTCTATGTTTTCATATTTATTTGATATGTAATTTTACCCCTTAACATGCCCCGCAAATACGGTAACTCATTTGAGAATATCAATTTTGTAATCGATATACTCATTTTTGAGTTTTAATTAGATTGAATTGTTCACTGGAGCCTAATGGCTCTAATAACATATTAAGATTTAGAGTTTCATCCTAAAAGGTCAATTTTGTTAAGTGAAAGAGCCAAATCTCTTCTATGTTGTCATGTTGGTCTTTGTTTTTATCTTTATTCTATGTTGGTTTTTGTTTTCATCTTTACTCGATATGGTAAAGATGCCAATATGTCCCCAAAAAAAAATAAGAAGAAACATACAATGATAGTAAGATTATTAAAGCAGCGTCTATCTCAATATATGAAATACAAAAAAGGCATTAAGCAGAGACACATCAAACTTCTCTTAAAAACCACGCACAACACGGATAAAATATGCTTTGCTGCATTTTTTCAAGGCGAGCATAGAGAATTATGTACACATTACAGTTGTAACCAATTTCTGACTAATAATGTGGATTTGAAAGGACAAAGCTTTTAGAATTTTGCTATTTGTATACTGATTTTTGACACTTTTGTTGATATTTGTATTGTTGTTAAGTATCAACCGGATGAAATATCTGTTTGAAATTTAAACTGTTCTATGGGATTATGCTACATGGCAAAGTGATATTCAAGCTTTTTAATTAAACTGCATTTAATCCTTACGTGTTTAAGTACAATTTCTTCCGCTTGGCCTCTTGACCAAGGAGTTAACATAGTGAAGTAATATTCATAGTTTTAAGAAAAACACTATTTTTAAAGGCCAACCAAAAAAAAAAAAAAAAAGAAATCTTTTTGGGGGTCCTTAAAGTAGGTTAGATACCTAAAGTTCATGTCACAGACAATGGGTAAGGTTTTACGTCTCCTTGAATTCTATTTCTATAAACAATACGTAGGTCAGTTGAAATTTTTTAATTAGTGATGTGTTATAAGAATATCGAATAGTATAAATTTTATTTATTACAGTAAGAACATAAATAAAAAGAGAATAAAAACTGCAAAAATATATGAACCGCTAAAAATACTATAAATCTGCAAATTGAGGCCTGTGTGTATGCAGTTTTATTAAAATAGATTTGTCCCCTTACTTTAGGTGCTTGTTCATATATTCTGTATTGATATCACGTCACCCTACGTACATCCACAATCTTCAACATATTTTTTCAAACAACTCATTTAAGATATCAACGTGGCAATCAATAGATACAAATTATACGATAATTCAAATAATAGAATATTAAGCATCACTTGTACACTTTAATCTGCCATAAATAAATTATAATGATCTAGTTGGCAATCTCCAAATCACGCTTTCGCTTTGTTCAGTAAATCATTTGAAAACGTATTTCACTACGCCAGGAATGTGAGTATTCATGAAGTAATCATCCCAATTAATGCTTTTGGGATCGAAGTAGAAAACATCAGTCTCCTCACAGCTTTCTTTAGCTGATCTTCTCAGTTTTTCTGTATTCATGTCATCATAACTGCGTAACAAAAAAAGTTGAGTTTTTAGATTGAATAAATATGACTCAGAAATCATGTTAGATACGGGACACTAGACAATGCTATACAAAATATTATATAACTTTTTAAAATCTTTTTTCTATACATTAACTAATAAATATTTTTTATTAATTAATATTGAAAATAAGAAAGTTACCTATTTTAAAAGTAATTCTTACCTCACTATGTGAATTTATTACTTTTTAGCTATAAGTATGATTAGACATCTTACCTTTAAATAAAAAAATATTTTTCGGAAGTAATCTGATTCACATATTACCGTCAAAATAAGTAATTTACTTATTTTTAACTTTTACTATTTAAAATTTTATTTATTTTAAAGATTATTTATGACTTCTATATAATTTGAGTTAAAAGAAAGCTTTTCAACCTTATCCGCTTGTAACTTCTTTTATATTAGTGAGAAGAAAAGGATAAGTTCTGTAAATATGTTTAAATACAGCAAGTTACTTAAATTTGAATTTATAAAAGATCAGAAAGTACTTACACTCCTTTGAAGAACAAATAAGGCCCATAAAGTTCTATTAACCTCATTACAAACTTGATCTTCCGATACATTTGAAGATACGTGCTTTGAAAGTACTGGCAACATGCTGCATTTACTATTTGTAATCCCTAAAATAAAAATATATATAAAAGTTAGATGGCAGGAAAAAAGGGTACATTTAACTTAATTTTATTTCAATCAAGACTCTCGACTGGTCAACTTTAGCAATGTCATAATCATGTCACTCTTTTCAGTTTTCACATTCATTGTATTGTATGTGTACATTTTTTGTGAACAAAACGAACCTTCAATGGAAGCAAGTAGTGAACTGCCATGTATCGACGGAAACTATCCATGGTGCTCAACACCGTGACCTTGCCAACAATGACTGGCTTGCCATCCTTATTTATCCACGGGTGTTTGGTGAAATATTGAAAGCCATAATCTTGAAGCCAAGTAAACTCCACAGGGTTTGAAACCGAAGATCCAACGTGGTAAATGCTCTCATTAGGTTGATTTGCATGAGCCACCATGGCTACCACTATTGCATTCACCACCATATCTGCTGGAATCTGCATAATATTCATTATCAGTGCCACATACCGTCAATATGAATGTTCTAAAATAAGTAAAATCATTTTCTTGAAAAATAAGTTACTTATTATGATGGTAACTTATGAACCATGGTTGTGATGTATATAGTATGAAAAATTTTGTGGGTCAATTTTGGTGTGCACATTAGACGTGTTGTGCCAGACCAAACATAAATCTCGTGCAAAGGAACTATAAATTCATTAGTCATATATGTTATAAGTCTAAAAAGACACGAAAAATTTAATGTTCATAGTGTTATTTATTTGAACACCATGAATTGGAAATGGAAAAAAATGAAAGAAAGATAAAGCAACTCACCACGTCAATTATGGTTTTGGGATCGCCAAGGAAGCAAGTTATCTTACCTTTACCATAACCAAGAGCTAAGCTATCAATTGTTCTGTAACCACCAAACAAAATTGTATATTAGCCAAAAAAAAAAAAATGGCAATATTTAGTAGAAACATTACCAGTAAAGAAAACTATTCGTAGGAAACAAGTCTTCCTATTCTCTTAGGGTAAATAAATATAAAATTTAAAAGTACTAAAAAAATACGTGACAAAAACCCATATAATTCAAGAATCGATATTACCTGACACCTTCAACCCAGCCAGGAAAAGGCTCTTTGTAAGTACTAGTGACAATTGTAGGACGAATGATAACAAGAGGTATATTATCTTTCAAGTGTCCCAAAAGCATCTCCCCCATTGCCTTTGTAAATACGTAAGTATTTGGCCACCCATACTTCCTTGCTCTGCATATCGATAGACTCATAAATTAATTATATACACACACACACACTACGTCTGACTTCAAACATATGAAATATGCCAAAAATTAAAAAAAAAAAAAAAAGTGTTGAACTCCAACATTGAGGGTCTCACCGTCCCGCCCCTAGAGCTTTGTGAGGGAGGTAAATCGTGAAATGTGCCTCATCAGGTCAGGGAACAAGAGTTGCCTGTATATTACGCTTACAAGGAATCTAATTCCATGTCTCAAGAATTGAACCTCCACATTACGACTGTCAATAAGGCATGAAATAACATCACTCATTTTCTCCAAGGGCCTGTTTGATTGGTCCATTTTTCATGGAAAATGGAATTCAAATTCCATTTTTCACCATTTTTGTGTGTTTGATTGCAAGAAATTTCCATGAAATTTGTTTTCTAACTTTTCTCCACACATGTGCCATTTCCATGGTTTTGTGGAAAATCAATTCTCACCATTTTGATGAGAATTCCAGCCTTTTTTAATTTTTTTTGGCAATTAGAACAAACGTTATCTCCAATTGTAACAAATTTTGTCTTTTAATTGAAATTTTCAATAAAAAAACAAAGTCAAATGAACACTAAAAGATTGAAAATTTCAATATTTTTCAAATGAAAAATTATACTAATCAAATACATTAATTGACAATTCTTAGGAAAATAAGTTTTAGGCAATTCAATTGCCTGAAATTCGTTTCCTTTCCATTCAAATTTCATCCTTACAATCAAACGGATCCTAACATTTCTCGATTTGATTGAATAGATTGATTATTTTCATGTGAGATAACGAATGTGTTGACCTTCAATACAACCTATTTCATAGGTAAATTATTTTATTGGTTAAGTACACAAATAATCACTCAACTTTATATTTAGTGTCATCATGACCATCCAATTTGATTTTATCTTACCAAAGTCACCCAACATTATACCTAAGTGTTACCATGGCCAATCAATTTGATTTTATTTCATTTTGACTATCCAATTTCATATAAGTTTTATCATGGCTACTCAATTTCTTTTCACTAATTTTAAAAAAGGTAAAATGGTAAGTTTGCATTATATATAAAAAATAAATTTTAAAAAATAAAAACAAAATAAAAACTTATTTTTAGAAAATGTTACTTAATAAAATAAAATAAAATAAAAAACTTATTTCCAAAAAAAGGTTTTTAAAATAAAATAAAAAATTATTTTTTAAATAAAATAAAAAATTATTTTAAAAAATGTTACTTAGAAAAATAAAATAAAAAGTTACTTTAAGGAAAACTTTCCTTAAAAAAAAAAAAAAAAAAAAAAAAAAAAAAAAAAAAAAAAAAAAAAAAAAAAAAAAAAAAAAAAAAAAAAAAAAAAAAAAAAAAAAAAAAAAAAAAAAAAAAAAAAAATTTCAACTGATTCAATGTTTCCTCTACCACATTCTTCTCTGTATCAATGTCCAATCCAGATGTCCCATTCAGTGTTTCGCCCAACTTGTAAGGGTCCTCTTTTATTAGTCCCTCCATCTCACCAGATACAAAAGCTGAATTCGTCAACTTAAATAATTAATTGACAATATCGGTACAACATGTGAATAACTGTGGTCCAAGAATCAAATAGGTCGACAAGCATGAGGTTGGGTTGAACAGCATCCATCTTTGTTATATGTGGTCCAAGAATCAAATAGGTCAATAAGAATACGTTTTAAGGTCGGGTTGGACAACAAACATCTAGCTTGTTAAATGCATGAATTTTTTATTATTATTATTTTTTTCCTGAAATCCCAAGATTTTTTGAAATTTTCTCTATCGTCTCTCATGTGCCAAATTTGTTAATTTTTAGTCCCATAAATTTTGGAAGTTTTCTAGTTCAACCTTGATAATCCATGAGTTAATGAACGATAATAACTATAACATGTTAGGTTATTTTTCTCGCTAGACTATCTAGTTAATCTGACAATACATGCAACAAAACGTTTGAGCATTGTCCACTGATGGAGAGTGTCATATTTGTTCTGTTCATCTTAAGATACTTACCAGTTGATACATGAACAAGAACCTTTAGCTTGGCACAATTTTTAGCAAAATCCAAAACATGTTTTGCTCCAAATGTATTAATTCCAATAGCAACATCGTATCTGCAGTGGATCGAAACAACATTTATTTAATTTCAATTATAAAACTATTTCAATAAAATAGTAATAATTTGGTAGCACATACCTTTCATCAAAATTGGTTGTTGCAGCTAAATTAACTACAACATCTATTTCTTTCGACATTTCCTCCAACAGATAGGAATCTTTAACGCCCAAGTTGTCACAAGTAATGTCACCAGCCACAACAATTACTTTTTGTGAAATTAGGGGATTTAGATTTCCACCCCATTTTTCTTTAAGAATACGGAACAAATCCTTTGACATCACCTAAGAGAAGTCAAAGAAATGAGATTATTTGTCTAATTATATTAATTTGTCAAATTAACCACTCTTGGAAGAGTGCAAAATTTTGTGGTAAAGCATGTAAAAGTCTTGGATTCAAGTCTCCTTCGTACTAATTTAGGAAAATTGTGCACGTATGAAACCTTTGGAAAATCTGAATACAATTTACAAAAACCGATGTATTTTCTGTATTTAAAGTAGTAATAATAATAATAAACTTGTCCAAATTTTGAACACTTGGCCCTTTTTGGTAGAGATTTTTTTTTTATATAATGGATTTTGTGAAAATTTATGGTTAAAAATAGGTAGAAATTTAGATTTTGATTTAAAATTATTTTATTAGGATTATATAATAAAAAATGAGCTAGATGAAAAATAAATTTTAAAAAAATGAGGATCAAATAAAGTCTTTAATCTTTTAAATGAGGTGATTGTACACTCACGTACATCTTGTTTCAGTATATCGTGTGGTTACCTCAGTATTGAAACGTAGCATGGCTGACTTTGAATCTGCAGCTCTTAATAGAAGATAGAGTTTCTTCACATTTGGTTGAACTCTAAGAATCTTCTCAGTAAAAACTGCTTCCAATAGCAACATCGTATCTGCAGTGGATCGAAACAACATTTATTTAATTTCAATTATAAAACTATTTCAATAAAATAGTAATAATTTGGTAGCACATACCTTTCATCAAAATTGGTTGTTGCAGCTAAATTAACTACAACATCTATTTCTTTCGACATTTCCTCCAACAGATAGGAATCTTTAACGCCCAAGTTGTCACAAGTAATGTCACCAGCCACAACAATTACTTTTTGTGAAATTAGGGGATTTAGATTTCCACCCCATTTTTCTTTAAGAATACGGAACAAATCCTTTGACATCACCTAAGAGAAGTCAAAGAAATGAGATTATTTGTCTAATTATATTAATTTGTCAAATTAACCACTCTTGGAAGAGTGCAAAATTTTGTGGTAAAGCATGTAAAAGTCTTGGATTCAAGTCTCCTTCGTACTAATTTAGGAAAATTGTGCACGTATGAAACCTTTGGAAAATCTGAATACAATTTACAAAAACCGATGTATTTTCTGTATTTAAAGTAGTAATAATAATAATAAACTTGTCCAAATTTTGAACACTTGGCCCTTTTTGGTAGAGATTTTTTTTTTATATAATGGATTTTGTGAAAATTTATGGTTAAAAATAGGTAGAAATTTAGATTTTGATTTAAAATTATTTTATTAGGATTATATAATAAAAAATGAGCTAGATGAAAAATAAATTTTAAAAAAATGAGGATCAAATAAAGTCTTTAATCTTTTAAATGAGGTGATTGTACTCTCACGTACATCTTGTTTCAGTATATCGTGTGGTTACCTCAGTATTGAAACGTAGCATGGCTGACTTTGAATCTGCAGCTCTTAATAGAAGATAGAGTTTCTTCACATTTGGTTGAACTCTAAGAATCTTCTCAGTAAAAACTGCATACGTTTATACAAAATTCATGTCTTTAATAATGACCACGACTGCTTCTTTGGTACCGTAGCGCTACCTTTCTAGTCTACTGATCATGGCCGTGTTCTCGTGAATGTACATGCAAACATACTTTGTGTCTTAGAGAGAAAGAGAGAGAACACTTTGCCATGAAGTGTACAATGCAAGAAAGAAAACAAAGTTCAAATTTTATCAACCGATAGTTCTTGTTAAGTATTGTCTATCAAATGTGCACCAAGGGATGTGAATATTCATGCATGTTTACCATGTGTGCTTGTGTTCGTGAGAGAGAGAGATAGAGATAGTACGTACTCTTTGCCAAAAAGCCAGTGGCACCAGTGACAAGAATGGACCTGTTCTCTAAGAACTGCAGAATACTGCCCAACTCCATTTGTGAGGTTGATTAACTAAACCAATAGAAAGAGATATATGTACTGGGAGATCAGAATTCTAGTTTGAGGATTAAGAGAGCTCAAATCATAGACAGAACTACTTAAACAAGACCCTAGAGATATTAATGATATATGCATGGGGTGCAGATCATGTAGTTGTCGATTTTGGACTCAAAAAATGATATAAATGGTGGAGTGCACGCAACAAATTTGTGATTTCTTTGGTAGATTGACAGTCATGCCTGCACATCAATTTTCTACTATGATTCTAATATATAAACAACACACGTTAGATGACCCACTTGTTTTCCCACCAATATTGCTTTTAATGAGATCAATTATAGTAAAATATTGGTATGTGTAACGTCAACAATAATTATGTACTAAGTTTCTCATCCATGATTGGCATCATTGTTAGATAAATAGTTGTAACCAACCAATCTACTCAAATATTCAGCATCATACTACAACAATAGTTCGTCCCTGTGTCATGTAAAATAAGACAAAAAAATATTATAAAAAATGTTCAGAGAGTTATTTTTTTTTTGGTGGTTGAATTCAAAATGAACTAGACTCGTTTATGGAATTATTTTGTGTCTAGATCTGAAGGTGATTTCTCTATTGGTGATGTGCAAAGAGCTATAACCATCTTAGCAAATTTACAAGGAACTCAGCAATGGCTAGTATTTTTGTTGGCACTTGACAGTGACAGTTGTCGCTGATCAACAATGGATGAGTCATCTTCTTACTTCAATTATGTCTTCAATATTTCTATTCTATCATATAAATTTCAAAATATTACGAAATTATACAGTGATTAGGAATTACTCCAAGTTGAAATAACCTTCAATTCGGAGCTTACTTGGCATCAGGAAACTTTGTAAAACTTTTTACTAAAATAAAATATACCAAGAAAGAATGGCAACTTTTTAAACACAAAATGCTATGTAATTTTTCCAATAGCCTAAAAATAATAATTAAAATAAACTAAAAACACTAGCTTCAAAACGAAAGGCTATTTTAGAATCGTACTTAATTATGCAAAAAATACATATTATCAAAAGAGACTTAACACTAATTTAATCTATCAACAAATATCAAAATGTGTCCTTAATATTTAAATATATATATATATATATATATATAATTTAAATACATATTTAAACATTTGTAAAACAATAAAAATACGCAATTAAATTTGAAAATTAAAATATCAATCAAATTAAATTTTTGCAAAGAAATTAAAATAAATTTGTAAATGTGAAATGAGCATTATGCGTAAATAATTAAAATTTTTTTTTCCATATATAGGTTTTTCCTGTGTAAATCGTTCTCATACAAATTATTATAACTTGTCAAAAATTGATCTATTGGATTTCTTTCATAAATAATAGAAAAAAATAGATTTTCTAATGAATATGAGTAGGATGTCGACATGTTAATTGAGATTGAAAGTCACGTGATAAATTACTATTTTCGTACTTTAAAATAAAAATTTAATCATTGATCTTCTATTGTGGATGCATCATGGCGAAAAGGATATTTTTGAGATAGTAAACATAATAATTTTGAAGGTTAATCCTTCATTGGGTAAATTTATAACTTATATAGAGGAATAGTAAGAATAATAGTAGTAGGTCTAACAAAACGTGATAATAATAATTAATAATAGCTATAAATGTGTGACTAAGATTAATGTTTTAATTTGATTGAATTTATAAACCGATTTTGCATATAAAGAACACAAGATATGGGGAGAGCTATATCAGCTTTTCAGAGTTCACTTTTTTTCTAAAATGACACTTGGTGAATGTTTTCTTGTACAATTAAGGATATAGATATGAAAAATTATGTTGTTATATATTTGTTGGTGTATAACTTTTTATTTTATTTCTTCGTGGTCCTTGTAGATATTATTTGAAACATGACATTAATTTGTGGATGTTGAATGGAAAGAATCACTTATTGCGTATTAATTGTTACTTGTTGGGACATACTATCTAATGTTATTTGACATTCGTCAAGTTAATTTGCTAAAAAATGGAGCTTCTTCATCCACATTTAATTAGAGGCTATGTCAAAGCATCTTCAATGCATTCTATGGATAGCTAATTAGGTGGCATTGATGTCTATCAAATAAACACTCAAATTCAAATTTAGTCTCTAATACATTTTATGGACGACTATCAATATATTATTTGTTTAAGATATAAATAAAACTATGTCTAAGTCTGGATACAAAATATAAATATGAAAATAAAATATTAATTTTGCTCACTTTGTTTAACAAACTTTTGTAAATGCTTTTTAAAGCAGACCAATCTTTCGTATCGCTTCATGGAAACAGGGTTAAAAGCGATAGATAGCATGGTTCCAGGATTCCTTTTAGACTTCTAACTATTCGAGGAATAAGCTTAAATATTTTGTTTCTTAGACTTTGGTGCTATTTTTATTTTATTCTTTGTCATATCGACTTGAAGGAGTCCTTATTGACTTTCACAGAGATGAATATTTTTAAACACTTTAATTTTAACTTACACGACATAATTTTTTAAGTTATTGATCATTGTATTTTCCTGCTCTCATAGATTCTGAGTCAACAATTTATTTTAATTTGCTTTTGTTGTTACGAGCTTTTCACTTTATCATTCTTCAATTTATTTACTTTATTTTTGAGGTAATTAAAGACACTAAACAATAATATTAGGTTTTAGATAGAAATAATTGGAGATTAACTTTAGACTTGACCATCTATTCATTAGATCACTATAACAAAAGTGGGTTATTATGGCATGAATGTATGGCTTGCATTTACGACATGCGTGAAAGAAGACTATTTATGGCATACGCTATATGTATGCTGTAAAAAATCAATAACTTTGACGTATTTACAACTTGCAATTGTGCAATCGTAAAATGTGAATATTTACGACGTTATTTTAGGGCATGCCATGTTTGTTAAAAAAGTGAACTCATTACGGCATGCATATATAATTCGAGTTATTACAGCATGCATATGCACGCCATAAATGCCCTTTTTTCCGCTTTTGTTTACCTTATTTCGTAAAAAGTCCTTTTTGTTGTAGTGATGCAATGCACGCCGTTGAAGGTCCTTTTTGTTGTAGTGGATGACAATGACACTAACATGAAGTCTATCAATTATTATTCGCCACATAAACTGCAACTAAAATATAGAATGAATTTTGTTGTTTGTACATCTAGGGCTGGGCTCCCCTCTTGTGAGAGAAGTGTTATTCGGGGTGTTAAGATGTACACATAACAAAATTCATATGGAATTCATTGTGTAAAATCTTTAAATATCCCCAAAATATAATGTTCCGAGAGGATAATAGTAAGCCTTTGTGTGTGGGAGTGGCTTTTGAAAATCATTTTTTCATACACTTATTTTTAAACACACATTTTTCAAAAAAAAAAAAAATTATTTTTATGTCTATATCTTTTTCCTACTTTTTATCTAGATGTCCTCCCAAAAAAAAAAAAAAAATAATAATAATTATAATATTAACTTTTACAAAATATCTCCCACACAAGAACTAAATTAGTAATCGTGATGGAAAATTTCTTTCCTCAAATACATGATGTTCTTTATTCTTCATCCATCTAAAAAAGTTTACTTTTCAATATTTTTTTTTTATGGGAAAATGGAAAATATATATATGGTGACTGTAGGATAGGGGGGCAATCGGCCCATGAACGTCTTTGGCTCGAGCTGAATTGACATTTTCACGAGTCGACCAAGGCTCGCTAAGCCAAGTCGTTTTTTGTTATTTTTTATTTTATTTTATTATTTTAAAAATAAATTTCTTTTCGACTTATTTTATTGATTTCTTTAAAAAAAAGGAAAAAGAAAAAATGGGACCAAGTGCCTAAGAGCAGTTGAGCTCGAGTATCTAAGGCTCGGTCAATTGCACCCCTTCAAGTTCTAGAGCATGTTGATGAATTTCATTTCCGTTTCTTTTGGGCAAAGTAAGTACATCTTTTATATATATATATATATATATATATATATATATATATATAGGACAACTTTGTTGCAATTTTGGTACGTACTATTACATTCATTAAAAAATAAAAGTTAAAGGAAATGTAATCCTGCTTTGGAGCCAGTATATTAAACAATATTCAGAAACGAGGAAATAATAACAATAAAAAATGATTTTACTTCACAATATTATATACAAATTAACAGAATCGATCAAAACTACAAAGTAATCTATTGATGATCATTTATTGTACCGCGAATCAGGGGTATATGGTTCCGACAAGAAAGACTCTTTGTTTGCAAGATTCCCTCCCATTCTTTTGTTAGTCAACTTTATTAACCATAAATTTGTTTTTATTTATTAATTATCTAACATCTAATATTTAAAAATTAAGTCGTAAACTTTCGTTCTTCAGATCCAAGTTTACATACCAATTTTTCTTTATTGTAGTTTTAGTGGTGGGAGGTTAAGTTGTATCGTTCCCTCGAGAAATTTATTTTAAATATTATAATAAATTTTCAGCATTGAATGTAAGTAACAAATCATTTTATGTAAAGCCATTACTCCTAGATAAATAAATTGTTCGGAAAAAACACACGCTTGCAAGTTGCAAATACACACCTGCAAGCTATTTTAGCCTAGTTTCCTGCCTAACACCAACGGCGAATTCAAATCAGAATCATTAATGTGTATTGAATTAGGATTAAATTCCTCTCTCATGTCACATTCATTGGTACTGTCTATGTGCGACTTAAATTGCGTGTGATACTGTGATTGCATGTGGAGTTTTATACAGATATCACGGCACTGATGTATGGCCGGGACATTTAATTGTCAAAAGTGTCTTCGATCTTCTTTAACACTGGACAAATCCAGCAAAGATCTGTAGTCAAAAGACTAGACAAAAAGCTATTTCTTAACATTGGAGAAATTCAGCAAAGATTAGACAAAAACCACGACTAGAGGGTTTTCAAGTCCAGTGGTTAATTTAATAGGTGGCCAGCTAGGGCGGCAAAGCTATTTCTTAACATTGGAGAAATTCAGCAAAGATTAGACAAAAACCACGACTAGAGGGTTTTCAAGTCCAGTGGTGGATTTAATAGGTGGCCAGCTAGGGCGGCCGCCCTAGCTGAATTTGTCAGGGAGAAATTTTTTTGTTGATAATAGATAAAAATTTTAGGTTATATAACTGGTAGTTCATTTTATTTTTGAAACCCTCTTTTGCTTAGTTGGACGGGAAGGAA